CAATCTGCATTAGCTCCTGCTGCTCCACACTCCCATTACACCCTGTACTTAAATCACCCTCTTACCTCACCTTATGGGAAAACTGATTTCATTTGTCTCTTCCTCAGGTTGTCATAGAAACAGGATCCACAATTGTGCTACTCACCATATTTTCAGATCATAGCTCAATGCCTAGAATTCAGTGGATGTTTAAAAGATGCTTGCTAGAAGGATGGATGGGTGCATGAGTGGGTGGGTGGGTGGGTGGCAAGCATAAGAGAGAGAGAGCACCTGGCAAATGACAGGATGCTGGGTCAAAAGGTGACAAGCCTAAGATGTGAACTCCTTAGATAACACTTTAGCAGTTACTCCTCATACATGCTGAGGTATACAAAAATGTGAACTCAGTATAGCTCCACTGAGAGTCTGCTCTTTAGCTTTGCTATTACTTAGTTTTACCCACAAGATCCCAGTTCACTTGTGCTGCAGTCCAGTGAGACAGGAGCCTTACAAACACCTTGCAGGTGTGCAGTGTACCTAAGGGGCTTACAGCCACCATTGCTGTGCTTTTCCAATTTTGTCCTTCGTAGCCAATCCCCCGCCCCTGAGGCTCTCGGGCTGAGATAGTGACACTGCCTGGGCCTTTTGCTTTAAGTGGTGAGGGACATTCACAGCAAAGTGTTCTCTGGCCCATGTGCTTTGGCTCTGCTTGCTCCTCTTGCTGGGCAATGTTAGTTCTGGCTCGCTGGTATTTCCCCATGTGTACTCAAAGGGAGCAGGGCTGCTCTAGCAAGTTTTTCTGTGTGTTTCTGCAAATGGGTAGCACATTGACATATCAAAGGAACCCAGAGCTGGAAGAGCTTGTTTGTTCCTCAGCTTGGAGCTCCCTCCTGTCTCCACTCTTCACTACCTCTCTCTTAAAAGAATTTCTCTTGAGGTAGGGAGACATCTTTCTGGCCACACCTATGTGTTTAAAATGCCTCTGCCAACTCTCACTGACTAGGGAGCAGTTGATGGCAAATGCTGGGATATTAGCAACACTAAGTTCTCTCTCAATAGCGGTTTTTCCTGACAGAAGCCAAGACATTTGAAATCTGGTTGTTGTTCCATCCATAATCGCCCTCATAGCATCCTTCCCCTAAATAATTTCAGAGCTATATAAAGGAGGTTGAAATTGCCTTAGAGATTTGTTCAATAGCTGGTATCACATCGGTGCCATTTTATCTCCCCCATACCCATAGTCAAGCTGCTAGATGGATGTGAAGGCATGAGTGTGACTCTATGTACTGGCTGTTAATTGTGCATACCATGGGGGAGGCGGAGTCATGATGCACGTATGTCTTTAAAATTGCTGTGGAACACTATCACACCATCTCAGCTCCCAAAGAGGAGATGGCTTCAAGTTCTTCCTCTTGCATGTGTGTTCTCTGCTGTGAAGAAGCCTCCCCTCGTAGAGTCTCAGCATTGTTTGTGCAGCTTCTGACTGTAGCTGAGCAATACCCAATAGTACCCAGTCACAGAGGAATTCAGCGGGACGACATTTGTAGGCTGGGGGTATAGTTTAGTGATAGAGCATTTGCCTAGCATATACCCAGCATTTGCCCAGCATCCCCTGAAAGAAAATACATGTTTCCTTTATAAAGAAATCTTACATCATCATCATCATCATCCCTTTACGTGGTATGCTTGAAAATACAATTTAGGGTGCTGAAAAGATGGTTTAGCCACTAAGAGTAGTATTGCTCTTGCAAAGGGACTAAGCTTGGTTCCCAGCACCCATGTTAAGTAGCTCAAAACCACCTGCAACTCCAGTTCCAGGGGGATCTGATGCCTCTGGACTCCACAGCATCCACACTCACTCACACATACCCATGTACAGAAACAGTCATACACAAAATTAAAACAAGTCTTTAGGTAAAGAGAAAATGCAGTTTATTTTTCTGGTGCTTTTCAAATGAAACAGTAATGCAGATTCATTTGTAAGTTTTCAAGTTGCATGTTCCATACAGGGAGGCAAGCTCTACTGTAGAGTGCTTCCTGCTGCCTTGAGGAACATACCCCAGTTTCATACGACAAAAAACACAGTGAGCTGAATACCCCTCTTTACTCCAGTGTTCTTGTTAGCTGTTCTTGGAAAAGAATGCCATGCATGGTTTTGAAGTAGGAAGCATTTTCTTGTTGAGTTCCCATTATCAAATGGCACATGGGGGTGAGGGAGGCGTCGACTCCTGTACTCTCCCCACAGTTTTCCCCCAACTTGATTCAGGTTCTCTCTGGAAGTGGCACCTCTGTGAACTCATTCAGAGAGCACAATGAGATCCAAGAGCCTAAAGCTACAAACTTTCTTGTGGTTGTCTAGGAAGATGAGGCCCTGAAGTAGGCTCCTCTGCTTCCTAAACGGGCCCATCTGTAGCTAGAGTTTTCCTGCCTGGCCCACAGTCAGGACAAATCTTTGTCACCCACCAGTCCTGCAGCCGCTCAGACCCAACCAAGTAAACAAAGAGACTTATATTGGTTACAAACTGTATGGCCGTGGCAGGCTTCTTGCTAACTGTTCTTATATCTTAAATTAATCCATTTCTATAAATCTATACCTTGCCACATGGCTCGTGACTTACCGGCATCTTCACATGCTGCTTGTCATGGCGGCGGCTGGCAGTGTCTCCCTCCGCCTTCCTGTTCTCTCAATTCTCCTCTCTGTTAGTCCCGCCTATACTTCCTGTCTGGCTACTGGCCAATCAGTGTTTTATTTAGTGGCCAATCAGCAACACATTTGACATACAGACCATCCCACAGCACCCATCTCTGTGCTCTGGCCCCGATGACCTCCTAACAAACATGTTGATCCAACCAGCCAACAGGCCATCCAGGGCGCTGTTCCCTAAACTTACATTGGCCTCAAGGATTCCATTTCAGTCAGTCAGCTCCTCTAACCAGCTCACAGATGGCGTGGGGGAAAGCATCTCTAACTGGCTTACAGGTGATGTGTGTCAGGAGACAGGCTGTAGGGTTGGAGGGAACGAGACGCAGGTTGCTGGTGGGCGGGTGTGATGACTATGAAGGACTACAGAGAAGAGGGGGACTGTTACCAAGTTAGCGTTGCCTCCTCTCAACCTTTCCTGTAACTGGTGCTGTTGGGCACACATTTGCCCCACAACTTTCACTTTCCACATTTACTGTTTTTTATGTGATTTGGGTCTAGAAGGAAAATGGTTAAGGGCCAATTTTCTAGGAACTGGGGAGGTTTTGTTATTCTTGGATCTCACCAAATACTGGTCATTTAAAGTTGTTTTATTGGAGTATAATTTACATGCCATAAAATTCACTAGCTGTAAGAGAACAGGTCAAGGATTTCTCATAAATTCATATGGTGAAGTTGGAATTCCAGCATCCCAGAAGGCTCCTATGACACCTGAAGCGTCTGATTGTATGTGAATCATGCTGACTGTATGTTTAAGTATCGTTCCAATGAATAGCAATGGCGTTTAAAACCCTTTCTGGTTTCCATTGTCTTGTACCAAGGCAATGGGTCGCAGGCCATCTGTTTCATTACTTGTCAGTCTTCATTATTAAGTCTGTGTACTGCCCATCTAAAATGAAGTACGTCTAGCTAGTGAGTATGAGACCATATGGACTGCCAAGTACATCGTTGCCATCTCTTATGATAACACACCAAGAGTATGCGTCTTGCCATTTAAAGGGTGGGGGGTTTAAATACTTTGTCTTAATTCAAGAATCATATATCCGAACCCCCACAGTGTGCCTGTGTCCTAAATGATACAAAAATGAATAATACATGACCCATGGCTTCAAGGGTTCATGACTCCTGAATGTGGCAAAAACAAACTAATAAAAATAGCATAATTCTATAATTGAGTCCACTGGAAAGTGTGGACATTATAATAGCAGGATAAACAAATGGTACTCAATCATCATGCGATTTTTGTAGCATATAAAGAGTGATACTCTTGTGCTGGAAACTGTATTCCCTGACTGATCTGAACTCTGCAATCCAAACACAGTCTCTCTTGAGGACTTTGCTGGAGACTAAATTATTCCTTACAAAGAACTACAAAACACTGTAAGCAAGACCATCTCAGTAAGAGGAAGAGTTTTAGGCATAATGATTCTCATAGTGATGCCGTTTGAAGGTCAACATTTTAATGTAGGCTTAATCAGGAAACAGCTACCTGCCCTGTGTTAAGTATTTTGGAGTGTTCAAAAGGAAAACTTTCATACCTCTTCCAAGAGATAAGAATTTGAACACAAAGAACTAAAGCAGAGATTCAAATATATATATATATATATATATATATATATATATATATATATATATATATATATATATATATATGTTGTGGGAATGGGACTTGCTTCCCTAAAGCAAGAGTGCTGAAGGCCTCTACCCTGCAGGCAGGGCACAAGGGTATAATGCTGAGTTACACAAGCCAGATGACATTGTATGGCATAAAGTTAACCCCATATAAACTCTCCCCACTCATCTATTTGGGATGGACACTGCTATTTATTTAACTGTATTAATTCAACTTCTCAATGTACAGGAAATAGATGCACACTACTCTCTTGGTAGAGATGTGTGGTTACGAGTTCTATTGCTATGTTCGTTCAATTTTAAGCCTTCCTTATTTGTGACAGGAAACCATGATTCTTGGTTTTCTGATGTTTTTGGTGTGGTGATGAAATCGCCATACTCGACAAGAAAATGGGTATAAAACAAAAAAGGCAAAACAGTGCTCTGATACTAGCAACTTCTTGGTTGCTTTTCGAAGTCCACTGTCTTCCTTAATTTCCCATGTATTTCAATTGGATATGGTCCAAAGCTTCTCCTGTCCCCTCAGAGTTTTCCCAGTCTGAGGAAGATGAGAGAAAGGTCTTGTCACATCATCCTCTGCCTTCTTGCTGGAAGCCACCGTGGGTTAGAACCACATATATGCTCAGCAGCCGGTGGGGTGGGGTGACGGTTCCTGCTAGATCTAATGTCCTTTGGTTTTGAATATTAGGCTGGTCAGAGAGCAATGTCAGTCCTCATACTCCATGGCCAGCACCACAGACAAGCAATTCAAATGACAGCAGCGCTGCACTGAAAGGTAAAGCAGTCTCCCCTCTCCCACGACAGCTGTCTTCCTTTCCAGCAGCCCTCTCACTCTTGCTGTACTCCTTCACTAGTGTGCATCTGCACACCTAGAGCTCAAGTGCAGGGCTGCGGGATGAGGAGTTAGGCATGATCCTAGAAATTACATTCTGACTTTTTTTCCTGGCTTCCTGCCCTCAGTCACCATTCCCCTCATCGGACTCCTCTAATGAGGGGGCATCCAATACGTATATCTCTGTGCGATCCTTGAGATGATAAACTGCAAACAGCAAAGCAGGAAAGACCACTGTGGTTTGCTGGCTTTAAAAATACCATTGTTCACCACATAAGGAATAGAGTTAGAGTGCCTCGGGAAGGGTGGGGCGTCTGAGCTGTCAAAAGAGGTCCTTTCAAGTCTGTGAGATCTGCTCTCTTTTGGGACAGGCCCCTGAAGTGAGCATCTGCTGGACAGAAGATCTCATGTGTATTCCCAGCTCTATCTCTGTTCCTTTGGTCATCACCCCCTCTCCCTTTGACCATAGGACATTAGAGGAAACGTCTGTCCCATTATCATCAGAAAGTGTTCCTGTGGTGTTCTTTTAAGTGCTGTGCAAATAATTTGCACCTGTTTTTACTCCTAGCGGAGACCTGGGGATCTGAGGGTTGCCTTCAAGTGCAATCACCTGCCTTAGCTTCTAACTGCAAGGCTGTGATCACTCTCTGGGGACCTTCTCAGACCTTTGCAAGAGGTCAGGAGAAAGGGGAAGTAAGTGTGTAGCATATTTTCACTGGAGATAGCTTTAAGATATCTTGATACTCTCTATCAAGAATTGAGATAAACTAATCCATCTAGATCAGTCTTGCCCCATACACTATCCTCACATGACCTCTAACATGATGAGTTGTGATTCTCTCCAGTCCATGGGTTGTGAGGGCTAAGCACATAGAATTCAATTAAGGTTACCTGCGGTAACAACCTATTCAGAAAACTGTTCTGACTGCTCGTCTCGCCTTTACTAGCTGTTCCTATGTGTACTTGTCATATCTCAAATCTGATGACATAATACATACATTGATCCTGTTATTACAGAATAATGTACCTATTGGGTATTATGATTAGAAATAGGGAGATGAACCTAAAGTATAAAGTGCTTCATTAACTATCTTCAGTGACATTTTAAAGAATCAAAGATGGTTTATGTGACTCTGATCCCATTCTGTCCCTTCACTCTAGGCCAGTTTTGAGACTCTTTCCAGCCAGATGGCAAGCACATTCTTAGCTGCTCCCTGCTAGAAGGGCACCCTATTAGAGACATTTATTCATACTTCTGACACCTCCACCTGTTGGAGAGGGGGTCGGGGGAGCCCAGATTACTGAGCCAGTGAAGTAGATGCTCACATGGAATGATTTATATGGGAGAGTCCCAGCTTGTTTATAAATCACTTGCATGAAACACTCTTGGAAATTCTCTCCTCATCTGGAAGACACTTCGGCTGTCTAACCACGGTATTTGGGAAGTCAGGGCGGGTGCTTTGGTGAAGGAGCAGTAGAGTGAAGGGCTCCAGTGAGGGGGGTGAAGGGATTTCAAGCCTGCAAAGGGAAGGAAAAGCACCTCAAGGGCCTTTTGCCTCTGCCAGGCAAAGGTGGAAAAGCCTATGACCGGAATGGCAGAGAGGCTGGGCATGGGTATGACCTCCTCTGGGCCTGTGCCTTTGAAGGATGAAAAGGGAAACACCAGATTGCTCCTGACCCAGGGGACCTGAAGGGATCCCTCCAGCAGACACTGGAAAGCACCTTGCTTCTTCAGCCATCCAGTGTGATTTCTGAAATAGCCATGCTGTTTCCTGGTTGAGGCGAAAAGACAAGAGTGTACGATGTTGAGCAGCTCACAGAGCTACGGCTGGAGGTGTAGCTACAGGTGGTGCTCAGTTAACTTAGAACACAGCTCCTTCTTCATGGGCCCTCAGGCCACAGTTTAGGAGTGTCAGCCAGTCAGGGGTCATAGAATTTCCTAACTGTTAGACATCAAGAGTCATGGGCTGCCTGAGCCCAGCATGGCAGGGGTAGTCCTTGAGAAAGTAGTTTTGTTCACGTTTCTTCTTCTTTCCCCAGAGCCTGCCAAGGCTGCCTCGGACCTGACTGCCTGGTTCAGTCTCTTTGCTGACCTCGACCCCTTATCAAATCCTGATGCTGTTGGGAAAACTGATAAAGAACACGAATTGCTCAATGCATGAGTCTGCAACCTTCAACAGGGAGCCCTCGGGCCACTCCACAGCACCTCATCCAAGGCTTGCAGAAGTCTGACGTGCTCAGTATGCTGTTTTAATATTTACGTGCCATTTTAATAAAATGAGAGGGTCAAGGCCCTGTTTCTATCGGTATAGATTTTTACTCTCACTTGGTTTTTCTGTTCTCCGTGTGCAGTGAACGATGGCGGAGGATGCAGGAGCAGTCAGCAGGCCACTGCTTGCTCTTGCAGACACCCCATCAGAAGCATTGCTGTGTCCGTACACCATGGTGCAATCCAAGTCTAACTTACACACCTGAATGTGGGCTCACACAATGTGTCCTCAGGGGCACCGGGAGGCTGACAATGCTTTGTGCTTACTTGTGCCCCATCGCCCTCAGAAGGGGCTTCAGGAAGATCTCTTCATCCTGCTCTGCATACCACCTTTCACTGAGCTCTGGTGAAGATCCATCCAGACAACCAAAGACACACAAAGACACCCACCACACTTGACTGTGGCCACGTGCCACACTGGCAGAGGAGCTGGGCTTTGTTCTGCTCCATGCCCTTTCTGTGCTGCATATATGTACATCCTAATGTCTCCTTTCATGGTCTTCGCAGCTGAATTCAAAAGCATGTATTCCAGGAGCTGCTTGTAGCATTTTCTTTAATAGCAAAACTTAAACATTAAACTGAAAACATCATTCGATACACAAGTTCAAGTCATGGCTTCTATTGGAGACTCTGCTGTGTGCTAAGAGGGGCACTGTGGATGGTGGGATAGAGGAGGCAGGTGGGCCCCACAGGCAGTTCTGAAGCTATTGACTAGACCCCAGGCAGGCATCCCCAAATAAGACAACCAGGTTATATGGGCTGCACTGGATTTTTGTAGGATCAGGAAACAGCAGTAATGACAGATTTCTGTGTGGGCACATGAACAGCTCAGTGATACTGATAGAGTATCACTAACCCTAGAGTTGGCACTTACCCTCCTGGTCACAGGTTACCGGTCATGTCAGGGTCCCACACATTCCCTGAAGTTCACGTACACTATGGCAATGCACTTAAGGTCCTGTGTGGGATGAGTGATGGTCCAGGGGAAGAAAGGTTCTCAGTGCTAGGCCAGGCCAGTGGCTTCTTCCAGGCCCTGTTGCCCATCTCAGAGAAGGCTTTCTGGGCCACCTTCAGAAACACAGGAGCACCTCATCAAAGGGCTTGACCACAGCTCTAAAAAATACTCTGAGGGCTGGAGACACAGACTGTTAGAGGTGCCTTCTCGGGATAGGAAAGGTAACGGTCTGGGAGCCAGGCGGGGCCTTAGTTCAGGTTTCGTTTCTGGCTTTGCTGCCCTGTGCAGGCTGTCAGGGTAACATTACTAGAATCTTCTCTAGCAGATTTCTCAGCTCTGCGTTAATGTACTTTGAAGTTGTCAAGAAACAAAATCAGAACCCTACCTCATACTCCTCTAAACATTGGCGTGGTGCCATCTCCCTAGTCCACCATCTCAGGGCCTGTTTGCTATGTGGGAGACCATGACAACCCTTCCCAGTCTTCAAGAGCTTCCTGAGAGCTCACCTCCATCACTGGAATACCTCTAGATGTACCTTCAATAAACCAAGGACTGAGCCCTACTGTCATCCTGCAAGTCTGCCTCCTGCCCTACCTCTGCCTCTCTCCTTTAGCCAGGCCAGGATGGTGCCCAACTGAGCCTGGCCAGGTCTGTGCTTTAGGCACATGCCATTAGATGCTGCCACCCTAGAGATCAAGACCCTATTCAAAATCTGCCTTCAAGCAGCCAGAGCCCTAGAGTCGCCTTGGGAGCAATGGATTTATGATTACCAGATCAAGTTGTCCTATGTGGAGTGAGGACTAAAGGTCCTAGTTTCACCCTGGGCCACCTTTGTTTGCAGCCATGAAACACCCCCAAAGTCCCAGTGAGGAGCTGAATATGGAGGGCCAGTCTGCTCCATCCAGGCAGTGGGAGGGCAAGGGAGGGGAGTTCTTCTGTTTTGAATGGGTTACTTTAAACAGTAGGAGGCTGCATTTTAAAGCATCAGGGAGTAGAGGAAAGAGGATCATGGTAGTTGGATAAGCTTCGCCACCAGGAAAAGGAAAGGATTGCTCATGGCTTTTTCTCCATGAGTTTTCTTTCTATTTTCTTTGTGAAAAGGAAAGAAAAGAAACAGACTCCGTCTCCTTTCCCATCTGCAATCCACTTGGGCAGCCTCTTGATCCCTTTGGAGAGGCGTGTTTTGATCCTGCTCACACAAAGCCCCTCGACCACCTCTCCTGTTCAAGGAGAAGCAGCTGCAGCTCCGTTGCCTTGTCGGTGGCCTGTGCACCGCCTGGCCGAGGCACTTCCTCTGGGACCCACCTCGAGCCTCCCTAAACCTGTTCCTGACATGAAGAAGACAATGTGTCTTTCCCCTGTTCGCCCACAGTCTCGCTTCTCCATTTCCATCTCACCTCAGGCAGCCAGCCTGAGCCACAGTTACACTGGAGCTTGAGACAAAGATAGGAAGCCTCTTCATCGGGCTTCCCTTGGTTTTCCTGCTGTTTCTGATGGTTTCAGTATGACCCTGGGCCCCCTCCCCTTCCCCCAGCGAACAGATAAAGAAACCCACACTGGAAGGAGGGGCTGGGAATGATTCTCTTTGTGCCTGCCTTCTTTTCCCAACTGACACCAGCCCTGGCTCTGGATTCGCTTTACAGATTCATTCCCCTCCAATTGTAATTTTAGAAATGTCAAGTTGATTTTGAGTTCTGGATGAGTGAGAAAAGCACCCATCAGCCTCAGAATTAGAAATCACTGATTTAGAAAGAGCCAGCACTTTTTTTTTGGGGGGGGGGGGGGTTGGTTGCTGGAAGTTTTCGCTCGAGAAAACTGTGTTCGGCTTGAAGCTAGCACCCCTGGGTGTGAAGGAGAGGCAAATCTATTATGCTTTAGCCAATTTTTATAACTGGTTTGGGGCCAGGGCTGAGGGCTCTGAAGGTACTTTGTGAGGCCCCGCCCCTACCAGATGACACCTACCAAGCCCTTTTTGCCTTCTGCCCACTCCTGGAGTCAGCTTGAGTTCCCCTTTTAGGAGATGCTGCACCAAGACCCCACCCCAGAGCCCAGAGTCTCTGGCAAGGGCTCATGGCTAAATACTAACACTGTTTGATTTTGTCAATATATTGGAGCTGCACCTGTTTTTGTGATCAACTAGTGTCCCCCACAAAGGACACAGTTAATCCTCTGCTTCCTGCTTTGATTGGAGGCAGCTTCCTGGCCCTCTGACTGGCACTCTCTGTGCAGTGATGTCGGTAGGTCTCTTCAGCTTGGTTGGAAGATAGATTCCAGCGTGGAGGCAAATCCAAATGACTGACCATGGCTGCCAAGAATTCTGCATTGGGAAGGCTTCTAGAAAATGAGCAATGTTTACTAGAACCCATCTAGTTTATGATGGGTGTGGGGCAACCAACACTGCCTCAGACCTTGCCTTCCAGGAAGCTTTGAAACTTTCTTTTTATCAAAAGGAGCTAGTATTCTGGAACCTTCAGGGAAGGACATGTGTGATAAGAACAACAAAGTTCAGGGCCCAGTCATTACCAAAGCCCATCCCAACTCAAACTGACTTAAACATCAGACCTGTAAAACCAGCATTCAGGAGATGGAGGCAGGAGGATCATGAGTTCAAGGTCATCCTTGGCTATGTAGTCAGTTTGAGACCAGCCTAGATCTCTCTCGCTCTCGCTCTAGCTCTCCCCCTCCCCCTCCCCCTCCCCCTCCCTCTCCTCTCTCAGCTCTGATTCCTCCATTTCTTCAACCCGGTCAGACATTTCTTAGCAGATACGAAATGGCCACCAGTATCTCTAATCAAAGTTTTGGAATGTACCTTGTGTGGGTCCTGTATGTACTCTTTATTCACTGGGATCAAAGGGTAGAAAACGGGTGTTTGATAAGCTCCCTTCAGGTAAAGTGGGATGCTCTTCCTAGAAGAAGACAGGATGGCGGCTGAGCAGAAGAAGGCACTACCGATTTGCCCTGGCTTCTCTACTGAAATGACTTCGAGGAGACACTTGTCTTCCCAGAGGAGAGTGAGTGGACGGCAACAGGTCGGTTAGAGAAGCCAGCAGCCCCGGTGACTTGTTGAGGCTCCTTGCCTTCCAGTGCCTATAAGGGGCTATGGAGGACCAGAAGCCCTCTGCATCTAACACACTTCTATCCAGATAAGGAAACTAGGGACCACAGCGCCATCAATAAAATACTCAAAGTCAGTGGCATCTTAGGACTGGAACCCATGTGGTTGGACCCCAAGCCAGGGCTTCTTTTACATCCAAGTGTTTGCTAGAGATAACAAGCTATAAGAAAGAATACAAAGACAGGCAGAGTTCCTGCAAGAACCAATATTTATCCCTCCACCCCCCCCCCCCACACACACACACATTTCTTATTTTTCTTTTCAGAAGCCAGTCATTAAATATACCCTTTAAGGAAGGATTTAGGAAAGTAGTTTAGGGCAATAAACAAGAGTTTATCTCTCTTCAAGTCAAGCCTCTGCCGGCTGTAGGTCATAGCCCTCTCTGAGGAAATAACAGTCCCGTCCAGTGGAGTTACCACAGAGGAAGGACCTCAGTTCTAGGACCCTTCCATGGGGACCTCAGCTCCTAACAGCACACAACTGGAAACAGGCATCACTGAGGCTTCCTCAGTTCCTGAGATGCTATTTATTAAAGTGAGGGAGGGAGACTGTCCTTTCTCAATGACCTTCCAGCAGACTCACCAAGCTCCATTTTCTTTCCGCACTGTTTATCGACTCATTCCTAAATATCAAAGGAATGGAAGGGGGTGCGCCTGGAAAATCTTTTTTTTTTTTTTTTCTTTTTCAGAGCTGAG